CGGGCGCTGGCCGGGCCTCGCCGTGCCGGCAGCCGCCGGGCCTCGGGCCGCCACAGCTTGCGTGAGGGTCTGCCCGCACCGCAGGAGCTGGGCGGGAAACGTAACGCACGTACGCATGCACGCACACGCACGAGCGCAAAGCCCCCTGGGTGTTCAGAGGCGCATGCTTCTCCCAGCACCTTTGTGAACACGCTGCTTCCGGTCACCCTGCTTCCGGCCCACGCTGCTTCCGGTCACGCTGCTTCCGGTCACGCTGCTTCCAGTTATGCTGCTTCCAGTTTCTCCTCTGGGCAAGACACCCTGGCACGTTAAAGTCACCAGGCACCAGGCTTCATTAAAGGCCAGAGCAGGGAGTTTCCTGGTGGAGGGGACACAGGTGGCTCCCAGGGCAGCACGGCAACAGCGGTCAGGCCCTCCCGCTGGGGTAGGCTTTTGCTCACAGGCCTAGGCCACAAAAGCCATGGCCCGAGCACAGGTGGACAGCGTGCTGTGGCCAAGCACACCCAACACAGGCCGAAGCCGGGGTAGGGGAAGGGAGTCACGCAGTTCCTCTTCGATTAGATCAGCCATACAGGTGCCCCGTTATCCACAGCCCCACAACCACACGGGTCAGCGGGAGGCAAGGCTTTGGACAACTGGCTGTGTTATGTTTGCCTGCAGTGTGGTCAGCACGGCCTGCCATGCGCAAGTCTTTCACGCTGCACTGTCAGAGTTGTAGGTGTTGTGCACTGCATTAGGGGAAATCCTCCAAGCAGCAGCCACTCCAGGCAGGTACTGTGGAGATGGGGGTGCTTCAGACCAGCTCCTTCTTCTGGCTGTCCCAAATCGTGGCATGTGGAGAACCCTCCCCAGGAGGCAGAGACAGGCCGGGTTCCTTGGGAATGATGGACAGGGCTCGGGCGTCTCATCCCAAACATGAGCAGAGTATTTCATGGTGCAGGTTTTAGAGGTCCAGTCTGTGTCCTTGCCCCATGTTTTTTGAGAGCCTCGTGGATTCCTTCTCCAAGAGGGGTGGGTGCACCCCAGGAAAGCACAGCATCTTGTGCATGGCACAGCATGCATCCAAGGGAGGGCCAGGAGAGACTTGCAGGAGAAGGGGCTTGAATGCGCACAGCCCCCGATTCTGAGGTTGCTTCAGGAGTCCGCAAGGAGCAGGGATTCTGCAGCAGCTCTGGAAGAGGGGTGGTGGACATTTTAATGTGAGTTGACACTTGGCCCTCCCGGGAGTGGCCCTATGGGAAAGAGACACCAGGGCAGAGAGGGTGTAATTAGGGCTCCCAAGCCATCTCTCCATCCCAACCTCCAGCCATGGGTGGAACTGAGCCCTCAGGACAAGGCGATGGGCTGTGACAGCAAGCACTTTCTGGTGTCCACAGAGCTTCCTGGTGACCCTGTGAACACACCCCACACACACATAACCCAAGGGGAAGAGATGGCTGCACAGCGAGCCCGGGTGGGCCTTGGTGATGTCACACTTCTCATTTGGTGCTGAGGGCTGACACGGAGAGTGAGGAGACACCTAGACACAAGAAAGGTTGGCAGTAGTATCACACAGGTCCATAGGGGTCACAGCTGCCCCTTCTGTGGAGAATACAAAGACCCCAGCCCCATTACCATCAGCCTGGGGCTGCTCTGAGTCCAGTTCTGCCCTGTCCCACACAGCACTCCTACTCCTTGGGTGACACTCCTTCTGGCATAAGGAGCCTGTAGCGCAGATGTGTGTCAGTTGGGCACTATGACATCATTTGAGGTGTGTTGGCGCCTGCTCCCCCTGTGACTGCTCATGGAGTGACTACAAGGTGTGATCAGCATAGGTGGGAAATTATTACAATAAACAGTTGCCACTAATCCCCCTCACAGCTGCACCCCACAGTGCAACACACGTACCCCAGCACTCTCGCTGCTCTCTGAAGCACGCTGGGGAGTCCTCTTTCCTGAGCATCTTCACAAGGTGTGATTAAAAAATACAGTGACCGCTGCTGCGGAGTGTCGCCTCACAGGAAGGCAAGGGCTCGCAGACATGACGCTTGTCCACCTTACTCACTGGACCTCACACCGCATGACTGGAGCTCTTCCCTAAAGGTCAAAGGAAACATTTGGATTGATTTGGGACCTTGAGACAGGTACAGCAGTGCAACTCAAGGTGCTTAGGAAAGCCCCTGAGCCATTCAGAAAGTGGCAAGAACAGTGGCCTTGAGTCTTTGACGAAAGGGAGAGGATGTTGAGGGGGATTTATGGCAGTGTATCTTTCAGTGTAATAAAATATTTTAAACCTAAACACCATATTTGGATCACACCTCATCTACAGGAGGTGGCAGACTAGGACAGATTATTTGCTATGGACCCAGCAAGGCAGCAGTGGGGGAAAGCCACCGTGGTGTCAGGGCTGCTGGTGCTTGTACTGTGGGAAGCGCTTATTAAACATGTCTCCAGGGAGAGAAATAAACAGCTATCCAGGTTCTTCAAAGTGGTATCGCTAGGATAAATTGAAGACGGTCTTGCATCGGGCAAACTCCAGTGTGACTGTGTTCCATTTCCTTCTGGAGTGGCCCTGCCTCCACTTCATTAAAGCTGAGAGCAACCACATAGCTTTCTCTAGCAACTGGGAGGAGCTGGAGGCTTGAGATGCAGCTCATCAGTGGCAGGCCTGTAGGGATGTGTCCCAGGCTATTCCCCACAGGCGCCTGGGAGCAGGATGCGGTGGCACGTGCCTGCGATCTCAGCATTGCAAGGCTGAGGCAGGAGAATTGTGGGTTCAAGCCTGGGCAACTTGGTGAGTTGGCAAGATCCCGTCTAAAAAGCACAGAAGGGGGCTTATAGCTTGGTGTGAATCTCAGGGCCACACGTGACCTGGGGAAGCGTGAGCGAGCCCGAGGTAGGGGATGGCCCAGCTTGCTCCTTCACTCTGCTGTGGAGGTGGTCATCTTCATTACAGACTTTTGCACTGCAAGCCCTTAACTCCGTTGCTTCCAGTGAATATGGTGATGCTGAAGTTAAAACCATATGCTCAGAGAAATGATATTTATGCACTCTGCCATATGTACAGGAGACAATTTTGATTATGGAATCCACCAAATATTAGATTTTCTGAGATGGAATGGAGGAGTTACCTGTACAGCCTTGTCATTTCTAAAACAGCAGTCAGTTCGGTATACAAGTTTAGGCAACATTGTGTATTTCAGAATTATTTCTTAGTGTTTGGAATATATCACTTCCTATAGATAAAGATTCTTTTTTTTCTATCCCAAAAGTCAAGTTTTGGTTTTTATGTTTCATTCTTTTAAAGCATGGCTTCTGTTTGTCTAGGAAGTGGACTTAATATAAGCTGTCATTAAACTAGTTCCCAAACATTATTTGAATAGTTTTGATTTTTATAGAATGAAATACTATAAATCAAAGAGCACAAAAGAGAAAATACAGGGTAGAAATTTAGTAAGTTCTCAGCCCGTGAACACTGGAGTTGTAAACTTTCACTGACACACTGTTTACGGCTCACTTTGTGGGCTTACAGACAAGCCCAATTCAGAAGGAATTCTTCCAGAACAGAACTTGTCTGTAAGTTGGGGATTTACTCTACTCCTTATGTAAGTGACCAGAGAAATTTTGTCCATTTCATCTCTATATTTATTTAGTTTTGGTACCAGGGTTCAAACTCAGGGCCTTGGGCTTGCCAGGCAAGTGCTTATGCCACTGAGCTTTCTCCCCCGCCCATTTCATCTCTTTAGACGGTATTCAGTGCAGTCTTTAAATCTAAGCTTATTTTGGTTTTCTTGCTAGCTTTGTTTTCCTAAAACACTACTTAGTAAAATCCAGCAAGGACTGAAGCCTCACTACTTACATGCAGAAGAACGCTGCCCAACGCACTAGCCAGTATGCATCTCTGATGATTTCAGTTTAGCAAATTAAAAGTGAATAGAACCAAACTTCACTTCCCATAACCCAGTGCCCACTGTGTTGGACGGCATGCTGCCCACCGTGCTGGTGGCCTGGTGACTCCCCCATTGGGCAGATACGTAGAACAGGCCAGTTGCCACTGGTGGCTTCTGATGGTCAGGGCTGTTGCAAAAGGTGCATCATCCTAATGTCATTTAGGGGAAAAAAACAGGGCTCTGTCTGTGAAAAACAGAGTAGAGATTTTCCATATGAAAATAATTTTGGCTTTTCCATGTAACTTTCCAATTTTTTAATATTGTATATTTTTATGTTAAATATTTTGTATTATATACTACAAATGTAAAAAACCTGAGTATTGCAGAGGAAAATGCAATTTAGAAATAGAGCGCACATTCCACTGGACACTCTTGGTCCCTCATGGCTTCCTGAGCCCTCACGTCCTCCCGTTTCGCCTTTTGAATCATATCACCCTGGCAGCGATAGACACAGCCCCAGCACTGAGGCAGCCCTGGCCACAGTGTGGGCTTAGACAGCGGACACAAAAGTGCAGTACCCAGCCTCCCTTGCTTTTCTGGGTTGGCTGGTGTCTGCATTTGGATACTTCAGAGGTTCATTTGTTCCAGTTAAAGGACAGAGTTCAGTGACGTCAAAAAGGAAGAATTTGGTAGGCAGGCGGGCAGGCAAACTGAGGTGAAATAAAAGTCACATGAGTTCATGGTTCCATCAAGGATGCCCTGTGCCCTAACGTTTTTGAATTCAGTAGTGTAGGCCAAGTCCATGATGCCTTTAGCTTTCAAGAGGAGCAGTTTTTAAAGTTTTCTAGGTAATGATTGTGTTGCATGCGTTCCCACTACACAGAAGGGCAACCTTTAATTGGAGTCTTGAACTCAATTGTGTTTCCTGCAGTTGGTAAACCTCACAAATGTGGATATTGTGGCCGAAGCTATAAACAGCGAAGCTCTTTAGAGGAACATAAAGAGCGCTGCCACAACTACTTGGAAAGCATGGGCCTTCCAGGCACGCTGTACCCAGGTAAGCACGGGGCTCGGGCTGCACCTGGACCCCTCTGCGTCCCAGCGCTTCCCACCGTGGCTGGAGGGAGGGACCTTTCTGGCCAAGGACGTGGCAGTGTCATGAGGAACAACATACTTTCCTTCTCTACTTTCCTAATTCTCATCAAACTTCACGTGGTTTGTCTTAAAATTTTCCCCTTTCTAAAATGGTACCTACTCTTAAAAGTTGCTAGTTTGTCCTTCAGGTTTGTTACTTTCAACCTGAAGGAGTGTACTAAGGCTGGAGCCCAGCAGTAGGGCACCTGCCTAGCATGCATTAGGCCCTGGGTTCAGCCTCCAGGTCTGTACAAGGAAACAAAAAACAATTTTCTGTGCTTTGTAACCAAAATAAGCTATGCAGTCTTGTTTAAAATTATTTTTCTCATAAGGCAAGCATGGGGGTGCATACCTATAATTGTAGCACTCCAGGAGGCTGCGACAGGTTTGAACCAAGCCTGGGCAATTTAGCTACTTATTAATACTCTGTGTCAACAGTTTTAAAGACAATAGGGCGGCTAGGGGCATAGCTCGGCGTTAAGCCCTGGGTTCAAGTCCCAGTACCACCAAAAGAAAAGTTTTGTGACATTGATCCAATCAGTTTTCGGGCTGTGATTCCAAGGCAGAGTGCTCACATGTGCCTTGGGTTTGAAAGTAAAGCTTGTAGGAGGACTCAGGCAGTCAGGAGCGTCGAGACATCAGGAACGGAGGAGAAGGTAGCACGTGTGTCTGGGCTGCACACTGTTGTGCAAGGAGAGTGCACATGGCTCCATCTCAGGCAACAGCAGGCAAAGGTGTGCGGACAGTACTGAGCAAGGCTGGATTTTCATACAGGACTACACGAAAGTTACAAGAGATTCCTTTCTACCTTCCTAAGAGCTGTGCGATTCATTAGTAGATTGTTACGGTTAATATCTATGTGCCCCTAAAGCCTCGTACACTCGTAGTAGGGCCCTAGAGCGGTGACTGGATCGTGGGGTGTGACGCTCACCAGTGGACGTCTCCTGATGAGCGTGTAGCTCAGTGTTAGGTTAGGAAGTGAAGCCTGGGCGGGGCCCTGCAGGACATGGCCGGGAGGGCCCGCCTCCCTCCTCACCCTGGAGCACTCTCCGCTTCCTGCTGCCCGGCCCTGGGCTGCTTCTCCTCTGCCAAGCCCCTCCGCCATGCTGCCCTGCCTCCGAGCCAGCTGACTGTGGCCTGAAACCCTCCTCGCCTTTAGGGTGTCAGGTATGATGGGACGGAGATGTGACGGCAGCTTAGGGTTAGAAAAAATGAAACTAGCCCCTTTCCAAACGGGGTTCCCCCCATACAGCCACTGGAAACGGCATCGTGGCTGGTGGGATAGAGATGAGATTAATGTAATTTAGTAAGCCTTACTGAACATTTGACTTCAGCAAATGGTACCCGCGTGGGTATTCCCAGGCATGTACCCATTATTAATGGCAAATGAGGCCAAGAGGAAAACATGGCTAGAGAAAAGCCCTAAGAATCTTTTCAGGCCAGCCTCAGCATTGAGAGGGAGCGCATCCTACAGCAAGGCCCTGGGGCCCACTGTGGGCCTGGGCCAACAGCTTCCTGGGCCGCCATCTCGTCCCTCCCTGTGAGGTGGGGAGAGTCTGTGAAATTCTCACTGGCCTCCTTCAGTCCCGGGTCGAGGCTGGCGAGGCACTGCAGATGTGTGGCAGCAGGACAGACTGGGTGTCGCGATCAGAAGAGCAATTAGCAGTTTGTGACCAGTCCCCGAGGCATGGGACCAAGGGAGAACAGGATGGTCTTGGTTGTTAAAACTCAAAATGAACACTCAAATATTGTATTTATCTGAAAAAATCAAGCAGTGGGTCTGAGGAGCAAGTGTTTCTAGTGATGGCATTTGCATATTAACATTTAATGATCCATTGTAGATACTCAACATATTTTGGCTAAGAAGTTAAATAGCATACCAAGCCCTATAGAATGATATCCTCTGATGCACGTGGAAGTGAGGACACACACCCAGCCAAGGAAGCAGCCTGAGGATCCAGAGTTCTAGCTGCTGCTGTCATTTGCAGTGCCGGGCCAGAACCCAGGGCCCTGGGCGGGCTGAGTAAGCGCATTAGCCCCGGTGCGCCGGGAGCTCCTCCTACCTCCTGTGGCATCCACACGTGGTCGGGATTGTAGGCACCCGAATCTGTGCATCAGTCAGTACTTTTGGGCACTGTGCCACATACCAGTGAAAATCATTTTGTGCAGAGGGCCAGGCCACTTTGGCTCCCAGCGCAGGGGCTTCAGACCATGGCTGGCCCTGCTTCTGGGTCAGTGGAGAGTTGGTGTCGCAGGGGAAGGCTCATTCCATCACCCACCAGCAGACAGAGAAAGGAAGGCCCCATCTCCACAGTTCCTGCTAAGGGCACCCCATCACCCGAGGGCTCCCCCAACCAGACCCATCAAAGGATCCACACCTCCAGCAGTGTCACCTGGGGACTAGCCTTGGGCACATTGCCCTTGAAAGACACTCAGGGCCGAGCCACAACAGCTGGTCACTTCGCCCTGCTGACCCCGGCCATGGAGGTGAGCGGCTTGTGCTGGTGAGAGATTTGGGAGCATCAAGGGGTATGTGAAAGAACATCAGCGGGCTCCTGCTGGGCCCCACATAGGCAGAGGCGGGTGGGGGCCCAGGTCATGCCGTGTCCCCCTGCTGCTCCTGTGTCTGTCCCTTCACACCCCCGAAATCTGCCATGTCAGCGTCCAGGGGATAGCCAGGGGTGCTTCACTGCCTGAGCCTCCTCAGTGCCTCGCCGGGAGGGTGCAGGGAAAGGTTGTGGGTCAGGACCCAGTTGTCTTTAGGAGAAGGCTTTGAGTCACTCGTGGTCATTTCCTAATGTCTTTATGCAAACAATTTCTCTTGAACTGGAAGTCACAGAGTGGGAAGGAGCACATCAAGAGCACAGCAGCCAGACACCCAGGAGCGGAGGGGCAGAGCCCCTGGAGGCTCTGCGGTGCAGATGAGGAAACCCTGCTTGAGGGTGTGGGTGCCCTGACCAGCCCTGGCCCCTGCTGTCCAGAAAGGAGCGAGTGAAGACAGCCTTAGCTTGCTAGTCCTGTCTGTTTGCCCCTCCTGTTCATCAGGGCAGGGTGTGTAGGTGCGGGCTGATGTGATACAAGCTTTTTCTACCACCAGAAAAAATAAGATAAGCCAACAGTGGCCTCTGATGCAAAACACGGGCTCTTAGCTTCACCATGGCAACAAAGTCATGAAATACTGAGGAGTCTTCTTCTCAGAAAGGGATAGTGAGAAAGCTTCAAAAAGGTTGAGACACAAGAAGGGACACACAGAAGAGGCTGTGTGAGCCATACCGGAATTTGGCAGCCATCTGTCATAAAATATATCTGCAAGATGAATAACAGCTGTTTTCTAAGAGAGCTAATGTTCGCTGCTGTATGAAATTGTAGTACCTGTGATGTTTAGAGCTCTTTAAAGAACAGATGAATCCATGATCGGATTGGCTAAGCTCTGGGATCAGTCTGATGGCTCTGGGATCAGTCTGCACAGATATCGGGGAGCAGAAACCAGAAGCCAGAAGCAGCGCTGGTAGGACCGACTCGGTGTGCAGAAGACATTTCCTTCTTCAGCTCCTGCAACAGCAGGATAAAGCTCAGGGGAATGAGTTATACTTCAGAAATGGTAGCCATCAAACCTAGAAGTCAGTAGAGACAAGACTTACCAGATACAGAGTTCTGTCTTCAGCTACAGAAAGAGAGGATACAGAAAAACAGAGATCAGTCGCCACGTATCTGCATTTCCCACCTTGATGTCTGAATGTTCTGCGGTGTGTGAGTGCTGCAGGATCCTAGACTCAGCCCAGGGGTCAGGAGCTCCGGGTTCCCGCCCCCCATGCTCCTGCCTGCTCCTGTGTCTGTTGTGCCCACTGAGGACATCAGGCTCCTCAGTCATTTCTTGATGGGACCACTGTCACAGGGCTGCTGCTAGGATTGAGTGAGTGAGTGGCCTTCATAATACAAAGGGACACAGAATGCAGAGGTGACACTTGTTTGGTCCTGAGGGATTGTGAATGGTACATCGATGCTGCAGAAGGAGCCATTGCTGGGGCTGGGCACTGACGTTGCTGCAGAATGTCTCTGTTGCGCTGGGCCACTGGGAGGACTGGAAATAACTCAGGGAAGGACTGAGCCCTGGTAGGCGGGCACCGCTGTCACGGGCACACTGGCCAGCAGAGCTCCTTCGACATCAGCATTTCTAAACTGGCTCTCTGTCTTTGGCTTTAGTCATTAAAGAAGAAACTAATCACAGTGAGATGGCAGAAGACCTGTGCAAGATAGGATCAGAGAGATCCCTCGTGCTGGACAGAATAGCAAGTAACGTCGCCAAACGTAAGAGCTCTATGCCTCAGAAATTTCTTGGTAAGAGTTAAACGTTTGCTGTCTCTTTTAAATAAACAAATTCTTCCTGAGTGTTTTGGCTTAGGTGAGGGTAGAGGAGAGGAACCCAACCTGATTTTTTAAAAGTCCAAAAGGTGGTAAACTTAACATTTCTTAAATATCTTAGAATATTTTTCAGTAAGTTTCACAAGACCTACAGATTCTCTCAGACCCTTTGATCTATAGTTCACTTTAGGGGGGGGGGGTTTAGTGCATTTTAGTACAGGGTCTATAGGGTCTCACTGCGCAGATCAGACTCATAATGATCCTCCTGTTTTCAGCCTCCCAAGTGCTAAGATTACAAGCCCAGCCCCTGTGCTCTGCCTGAGTAAGTGCTTTAATCCACTGAGCTATCTGGCCAGCCCCGTGATCTTCGGTTCTTGTCCTCTGTGGGATGGCCAGGTCTCTATGGCCAGCACTGGGAACCGAGTCCCCATCACACACAGAAAGACCCCCAGCCTACAGCCCCCTGTGAGCTCCACGTTCCCTGGTGAGGACGGTGGGCACTGATGGGGGTCAGGTAGCGACTACCCCGGCAGTGTGGAGTGGAAAGGAGACAGTCAGGGTTAATATTTGCACCCCAGCATCCTCACTTGCACTGGTACAGTAGGGAGAAAGACGCAGGGTAAGACCTCCTCAAGCAGCAGTTGACTATCGTAGATGGCGGTGATGTGCCTGGAAGCAGGGCCCAGGGGCAGGTTTCCAGCCTGCAGGCAGCACACAACCACTCAGCAAGGCTGAGACCCTGGCGGAAGGACTCTGTCTCTCTGGTCTGCCCATTGGCTCCAATCTTTTTTTTTTTTTAATTTTATTTATTTTTTTAACATTTATTTGTGTGTGTGTGTGTGTGTGTGTGTGTGTGTGTGTGTGTGTGTGTGTGTCCAGCTCAGCCCACCAGGGGGAGGGGCTGGCTGGCATGTGGTGCTGGGGGATTGAACCACGGTCCCTGTGCTTTGCCAAGCTTGTTCCAAGGAGGTGCTTTAGACCACTGAGCCATCTCACCAGCCCGTGGCTCCAATTTTTGTGGGTCACTGTGAGCCTAAGATGACCCCTGGAGAGTGAGGGCGGTTGAACACCGCCAGTGTGTAGGTGCCCTGTCATCATGAGGACAGGGGAAGGGTCACGTCCAAGAGAAAGGTGCAAGAAGAGCTGAGAGGTGGAGGAGGAAGAGGTCAGCACATCGTCAGTGTTGGGGAAGGCGCAGAAGATTCTAAGCAGGCTGCAGCAGAGATGGTGGTGGGGACAGAAGTGGGAACACAGGCAGGGCAGGAGCCGCTGTGCTCCTGGGTGAGCAGCACCCCCCACCCGGTGCCCGGACAGGCCTCCCCATGCATGGTGAGAGGGCCCCCCACAGAACGCCAGGCAAGCACGGGCACATTTCTGATGGCAGAAAGACAGCGAGAGCCACAGGCTGGTGAGAAAGAGGAAGGAGGCCACTCTGGAAGCGAAGGGAGTGTGGGCGCAAGCTATGGGGCACAGGGCAGGGCTCGGGAGGGAAACCTTCGCTGCGCTGTCTGGGTTGATCCTGCACTGTCTGAGAAAGGGTGAGGCCGCCTTGTGGAACAAGATGGCGCACTGGGCTTGGGCGCTAATCCCCAGGGACTCCTGGGGTGGGGCTCTGGGAAAACTGTGCCTGGAGAGGGTGCAGCTAGAATGGAGCCCTTAGCGGAGATGGTGGCAGAGAGGGGCCAGCTTTTGGCACCAGCCTCCCTCGGGCAGTGTCAAATAGGGCTCCATTTTGATCTGTTGATTAAAGAAATTTGTCACAGACAGAGCTTGGGAGAAGGGAAAGGAAGCGACGAAATCCCTTAGAAACACAGCGGGAGCCACCAGCAGTCCGGGCTTGTGCCGTGGGGGCGCTTCTGTTGCTGAGCAGCTCAGGGAGGAGGCCAGGCTGCAAGGAGGCTGCTGGGGTTGCTGGGGCTCACACAGCCCATGCGCAGGACTCCCCAAATCTGTCCTGGACAGCGGCATCTGCCTACAGGTCCCTGGGCGTGGGCTTCATGAGAGGGTGTGCGGGTGAGCAGGAGGCCAGCAAGCACAGAGCCTCGGGCTCGTGGGTGGACCCTGCCTCCTCAGGAGGCAGGGGCTGGAGCCCACTTTGGAGGCAGCACCCTGGGAAGTGCCAGGCACAGCCCAGCCCTGCCACTGTGGGAGAGGCCAAGCCATGTGGCAGCTCAGGGCCGCTTTCTTGCAGCCAGCCTGCAACCAGGACAGAAGCATCTGTGTGAAAGGGGACAAAGCAGAGGCCTGCAGGCAGAGCGAGGCTGGAAGAAGGGGTCTGCGGGGCAGAAGGTGACTGCAGGGTGTGGCCTCGTGGGACAGCAGGGTGGCAGCAGAAGCAGAGGAAAAGAAGGGTGCTGGCAGCTGAGTGGGAGCAGGGCCTCCGCCCACCCCACTGCCCCCAGCCATGTGGCGCTGCCAGGCCTTGGCAGTGTTGATGCCCGTTCCCCGTGGCTCCAGCGCATGGGAGACAGATTCACCAGGGCCCTGTGTGCCTCCGGCAGGCCATGTGCCTCTGCCGGGCAGACCCAGAGGAGGGCAAGAACCCAGCTATTTCTCACATCTTTATTTTTATTAGTGCCTGTCTGCAGCACAGAACGATGGTGTGCATTGTGGGGTGGGCATACGTGCTCACCTACAAAAGATCTGCCCGTGCACCCCATTACGTGTCGTTGTTTTCTCCTAACTTGGTTTATCCCTGTGCTGTTTCAGCTGGAGGTCTGATTTATTTCATTTACATGATGGCCTCAACCGCCATCCACTTTCCTACAAAGACTGGAGCTTGTCCTTGTTTATGGCAGAGTAGTACTCCATGAAGATAGCACACTTTCTTTGTCCATTCTTGTTCTGATGGCTGTGTAGGCCACTTCCAGCGTTTAGCTGTTATGAGTTGTGCTGCTATAAATGTGGGCGAGCAAGAACCACTGTGATGTTATGATTTGAATCCTTTCTAGAAGATACCTAGAAGAGGAATAACTAGGTCGAATGCAATTTTTAGTTTTAATTTTTTAAGGTGACAGTGTGTGTGGCAGTGTTTCTACCACTAGAAAGCACCCTAAAAACAGGGCTGCGTTAGCTCCATGTTGCCTGTGCCTCTGAGTGGTGCACATTTTTGCTTTATTGATATCTGAGCTCTGATTAAAACAGTCAAATGTTAGCATGAGTCATTTGACATGAGTCAAATTTTTGCTGGCGGCGTCCCTCACCGTTATCCCCTTTAAAGTTGTCGCCCTCTGAGTAGTGAGCGACAGGGCAACAGGATCAGGAGTCTGGGGTGGAGAGCTGGTGGGAAACAGTGGCCCTGACGGCTGTTTGCACTCTGGGCACCAGCAGAGGAGAACAACGCAAGTGCCGATCGCCAGTGTTCCTGCTGCCCCCACGAGGACACAGGTGGCCTCCCTTCTTTCATATGAAAAGAAATCCTGGTGTATTATTTAAATTCTACACATTAATAGAAAGAATGTTTTGTGATCCTGAGGCTGGGACCCAGAGCCTTCACACTGAGCTACAACCCCAGCTCTAGTTTTCTTCTTTGAGACAGGGCCTTGCTAAGTCATTAAGTTGCTGGGGCTGGGCTAGAGCTTCCGAGTCTCCTGCCTCAGCTCTCAGAGTCCTGGGGTTCCAGGTGTGCACCACCACGCCTAGCATATAGAGACCTTTGATGCGAGGTTCATGTCTCCAGAACCAGCACAAGACCCACCAGTCAGAAGTTACCGATATTAGATCAGATGTGCATCAATCCAAATGTCTGTCACGTACACGTGAGTGGGTGGGGGATGGATCCACGGATTAAGAAAGACACATGGGGAGTAAGTTCTTCCTGAAGATTCCGGCATAGTGAACATGTCCACAGGCAGAAGGAGCCCCAACAGTGCACGTGGACTGGCTGCTCATTGCATAAATATTATATCCCAGAAGAAAAATCACTTTAAAATATTAACACTAAAATGCCCATGACAGAAGACATAAGCTTGGACTCATTGTTTAAGCCGCCTGTTTCCATTTGAGCACCGCCAGCACCTACTGGCCCACGCCTCTGAATGTGAGGCCATGACGCCAGCTCCCAGGGCTTCCCTTGAGTGGACTTTATGTGGGAGTTCTCCAGCCCTGCCCCCCACCACCCCAGGATGTCTCTGTCCCCTCAGTACCAGGGGTGGGGGTCCTGTGGTGTGGGTGGCCATGGTCACGCTTCCTGTACTACCCGAGACTCCAGCTCTCGCCAAGTCTCCTGGTGGCCACCTGAGCGCTCATCATGACAATGGAGACATCTAAATCTGATCTGATATTTTTGTCTATAAGGTGATTTCCACTCCCCTGAATGCCCAGTCTGTGTGTCCCCCATCTTGCCTGCCTGCCTGCTTGCCCACTTGCTTGCTTGCTCTCCTGGGCATTGAACCCGGGCCTTCACATGGAGACCCATCGCCAGCCCTCGTCAGTCTTTATTCTGAGGCCGGATCTTGCAGAGTGGCCCAGCTTGACCTTGAGCTTGCAGGGCCCCCGCCTCCCCTGCCAGAGCTCCAGGTCACAGGTGTACACCAGGAAGACTTCTACTTGAAAATTGAAGTCATACATACTAAGAGATGCCTTTAGTGTTTCGCATTCCAAATAAAATTTCCATCCCCTTTTATTCTGGTAGTTCCCCTTCTGGTTTTCCTTCATTTGTAGGAAACGCTCTCTCCTGCATCTTTTGCTCCATCTGTGGAGATGTCTGTCTGGGCTTACCAGTTGTCCACGCACTGAATACTTTGTCATCCACACCTGTTACCATTTCTTTACACTTTTATTTCTTTGAATTTTTGATTTCTTCACTATTATCTTATGCTTCTCTCTATGTCCCTAATTCAGCTTCAGTTGCTTTCCCTCCGTTTTGTGCTGGTTTTCATGCATGCGTCCCATAATAAACCGTGTGGGTCTTCCTTTTGTCTTCTGAGAGGTGAGATCTCTTCCTTTCCCTCCTTTGCCCTGACTGCCATCCTTGATTTTTTAAGAACTCGCTCCACACCATGAAACCGCTGTGAGGTAGTTCCTGTCTAGCCTACATCAGGTTCGTCTTCCCCTAGGACACACTTCCTGCTTTGTGTTACTTCCCCTCCTCCCTCGGGTCCCTGGAACATATTTGCACTGTAACCATGGCGTATCTTTTGCTCCTGCCTCCGCTGCGTGGTCTAAGGAGCTTGGCCAGCGCCCCAGCCTCTTCCAGCTGTGTCTGAGGCTTTCTTCTGTGAGAACGACCAGCCGACTGCTCAAAATTCCGAGAGGGTGCAAGGCAGGCTGGGGCAGGTGAGGCTGGGAGGCCTGAGATACAGACGCCCCTCGTCGTGAGATGTGGTTACAGCCGTACACCTACATTGCCACGGTGCTTCCTGTTCCCACAGGAAGCTCTGGGCTCTGAGCCCAAAGGGCATTGTCTGCCCCCTCCTGTGTCACCTGGTCCTGCAGGCAGAGGTACACACTGCTCCATGACCAGAAGCGAGAGAACAGTCCCCTGTGGATGCGAGGACGTAGGCAACGCAGAGTGCTGTGGGTCCATGCGTGAGGGTTTAGGGAGTGAGACCCGCATATGGCACTGGGAGGCTGAGACAGGAGAGCCTAGAGTTCTAGGCCAGCCTGAGCTACGCATGAGACTTTGTCTCAGAGCAAGAGAGACAGAGACAGAGATTAGTAGCCAGGTCTTGTCCCATATCTCATGAGGTTCTTTGCATGGGCATAGATAGGTAGGTTTCACTAGGATACGTGGTTGGGCCACCACATTCTGTGGCTTTGTGACTTTTCTCTTGCTGCTGGGCACCAGGGAAGAGGAAGCTCCATGGGTAGATTGAGGTTACCCTGGTAATCTGGGGCACACATTTGCCTTTCCTGTACCCATTTGCTGTTCAGATGAAGTGTTTAGAAGAATAGTTTGGTGGGGCTCAGCAGTCATAGAACCGTGACTCTGGGGAAACAGGATGTCTTGGTGGGAAAGCACCGTCCTGTGTGGCCGCCACATTCACGCTTGGAGGTGGCTTCCCTGCCCCCACCGCAGCTCTTTCCCAGGCCTTGAATAGAGGTCGAATGTGACAAAAAGCAGAGTGACATCATCCTGTCTGGGATAACAAGTTAGGCAGTTATTGTAAATTATTTAGAACACTGTCTTAAAGATGTCTCATTTAAATATTGGTTTTTAAATCAAGTATGATAACGCGGGGGTATTAGGCTGGATTTTGCCTGTGTGTCTGTACTAGAGAGTGACCGCAGAGCTGTATCTCGAGCCCTATCTGTCTCTTCTGAGACAGGGTCTTACTGAGTTGCTAAGCTGCCCAGGGGAGGCTCAGGCTTGCTGCTGTTCTGCCTCAGCCTCTCTGAGTGCTGGGGTCGCAGGTGTGCACCCCAGGTTGTGGTTATGTCATCTCATATGGAAGAAGTGAGTGATACACGGCCCCCGTGGCGCGGATGTCCTCTGGTCCTCCCGGCCACGCCCCCAGCAGCATCCCCGGAGCCCACTGTGAGCATGGTGTGAGGCATCCCCAGATATCGAGGCAGCCACGCAGCCTCTCCTGGCTGGGGCACTTGGGTGGGAGGCGTCCCTGACCAGCACAGACCACTCACGACTGCTTGCCTCTGCCAGGGGACAAGTGCCTATCGGACCTGCCCTATGACAGCAGCGGCAGCTATGAGAAGGACAACGAGATGATGACATCACATGTGATGGACCAGGCCATCAACAATGCCATCAACTACCTGGGTGCCGAGTCCCTGCGGCCCCTGGTGCAGACGCCGCCCGGGAGCACCGAGGTAGTGCCCGTCATCAGCCCACTGTACCCGCTGCACAAGCCCGGGCCCGAGGGCCCCCCGCGGCCGCCGCCCTCGGCGCAGGACAGCGCGGTGGAGAACTTGCTGCTGCTGTCCAAAGCCAAGTGCGCGTCCTCGGAGCGCGAGGCGTCGCCCAGCAACAGCTGCCAAGACTCCACGGACACGGAGAGCAACACGGAGGAGCAGCGGGGCGGCCTCATCTACCTGAGCAGTCACCTGGGCCCCCACGCGCGCAACGGGCTGGCACTCAAGGAGGAGCAGCGCGCCTTCGAGGGCGCGCACGACGCCTTCCGAGTGCTCAGCACGAGCGGCGAGCAGGTCAAGGCCTACAGGTGCGAACACTGCCGCGTGCTCTTCCTCGACCACGTCATGTACACCATCCACATGGGCTGCCATGGCTTCCGCGACCCCTTCGAGTGCAACATGTGCGGCTACCACAGCCAGGACAGGTACGAGTTCTCCTCACACATCACGCGCGGCGAGCACCGCTTCCCCATGAGCTAAAGCGCTGCCGCTGCCCGCCCACCGCCTCCCTGGACCCACTGGACAAGCGTCTCGTACATGGCTTCCGTCTCCTTTTGAACTGGGTGGTTGGGTTAGTTGATTTCCTTGGGAACGCAGGATTTTGATAGACACAGTGTTGCGTTGGACGCACCCCAAGTTCCATCCTGCTGGAAGCTTCTGGAGACTTCTAGCTGAATCCCCGCATCAGTCACTCCCTGGCTTGTCCTCCAAAGTGAGCCTGAATTTTCCCAGAGAATGAAAAATAACACAAGGCAGAGCCTGGAAAGGAGTGAGGTGGTCCCAGCGCAGCAGGCACAGCCCTCCAAGGCGTAGTGTCCCCGTCAGCCAACAAAAGAGCCATAGGGAAGAGACAGCAGCCTGGACCCGGGGCCATGGCCCTGGGCCACCTGCGTCTGGGGCAGGTGTTATTGGGCCTGGGGGAAGGGAAGGGAGGGTCGAGCACCACAGAGCCTGTCTTCTGGTTTCTGGCGTCCCAAGGTTGCCTGGGTGGCATGGCGCCTCCAGAGGCTGTAGTGAGGTAGGCGGGCCCAGTGGTCCTGGGGACACACGCAGGAGCCCTGTTTCTGCTTCCTCATTCTCTGTCCCATGGAGGCCTGAAGTCTGTCACTGCCACCACCAGCCCTGGAACTCGAACCTGCGTTCTCTGTGGGCCTCTCACAGTCAGCGTCCTCGGAAACCAAAGCTTCTCTCAAAGGCCGCACTCTTTTTTTCTGCCTCTCTGCTCCTCCTCTGGCTGCTTCTGCCCCAGCCCAGGGTCCATCCTCCTGCCCTGCCCTCTTGGGCACCTTGGCGGCCCTAGGGGGTGCAGTGTGCTGCCCCTCCCTCCACCTCCTGGCCAGCCTGCTGTAGTTCAGGGACACACAGAGGGTGATTCTTGTGGCTACTCAGTTTTCTGTCAAGGGAAGGTGGAGAGCCCAGCACTGAGCCGCTCACATGCAGAACTCCCCTGTTGGAAGCTAAATTGGGGCAGATTCAGAAACTCCACCGTGAAGCAAAAGTAGTGCATATGCCCCCAGAAATGGGAAGTGCAGGCGCCTTGCCTTTATCCCCGAGGGGCAGTGCCATATCTGTGCAGGCTCCAGGGAGGGAAGCCCACCTGGTCCCACAGGACAGGGCCACTGGCAGGAAGGGAGGACCAGGTACAACAGGGGACAGTAACGGGACAATGGCTGTGTCTCTGCCTCAGTCCTGTCACTGAGGTCTTACTTGCCGCCAAAAAATCACTGATGGCTCTAAGTGTTTACAGTTCTGGTCTCCACCCAGACTGTCAGAAGTGCACACAGGATATAGAGAGGACTGTGGGTGGGCACCCCCACATCTGCAGCAGCCAGGGCTCCTGTGTCAGGCAGGACGGCCGCGTGGCTCCTTCCTTGGGGTCGCTCCTGGGTCACCCAGGAGCAGCCTCGGTCGCTACCCAAAATGGCTCCCCAGAGGCAAACTTGAGTGAGCTCAGGGAATTAATCCTAAGCCCATGGAGGTCTGGGAAGCTCCCTGAAGACAGCACCCGAAGCCTTGCCCTGCCAGCAGGCTCTGGCCGGGCCTGTGCCCCTCTGTCAGGAGCAGCAGGTCCACATGAGTCACGGCACGAGAGCTGTGCTGACAGGGCCAGGCCCGGGGGAGTCAGCCTTGAGTCCTAGCACAGTGCAGTGTTCTGAACCTGGAAATAAAATTGTGGTTGTGCTAATGTGTGTCTGCCACCCCAGCACTGAGTGAAGAGAGGACCCCGGGCTGCCACTCAGAGACAGGTGCCACACCTCATCCACACCCTCTCCTTGGCCCAGGTGGCCCCAGCTGCTGGTAGACTTCGCCACCTCCCCTTCGCTGTCACTCATCCCAGTCACTTGTTAAGGAGATCATTTTCCAGTGGCTTTCAGCAGAGCTTCACCCAGAGCTGTACATAGTATCAGCAGGTGCTCTTGCTAGGATGCTTTGTCCCTTCCTCCCCCTCCTCCCTCCTCCCTGGTCCCTCTGTCCCTCCGTCCCTCCATCCCTCCCTTCCTTTCTTTCTCCCTTTCATGTACTGGTACTGGACCCAAGGCCTTTGCGACAAATTGCATCTTCAGTCTGTTTTTTAACCTTTTTTTTTTTTTTTTAACGTCTGAGACAGGGTCTCACTGAGTTGCCTAGACTGGGCTCAAACTCACCATCCTGCCACCTCAGCCTCTCAGACTGCTGAGGCCACAAGCGCACCACCATGCCCAGCTCACTGCCTTTTATAGCCAATACAAATGTCTATTTGCACACCTTTCATTGTGGTTTTCTATTGTAATGGCATTTTGGAGGGGGGAGCTACTGTATTTAAAGTAAGGTTTCATATTATGTCAACAGTAATTAAATTATGTTTGAAAAGTGCCCGTATTCTGTACCAAAAGTCACTGATTTTTCTTCTAGCCGGTAAAAGTAGAGTTTTGCATGATCTCTCACTTTTTGTTCTGTGGTTTCTTCCGTCGTGTCTTGGTGTGTGTGTCTTGGCTTCAGTTGCATGCTGAGGCACGCCTGGCATCCACGCCCCTGGTGACGACAGCAGTGGCTGGCAGAGGCAGACAGGTCGGAGGAACAGGTCGACTGCCTGCCTCCTGCGTCCCCCGACCTCTTCTGCGTCTTGGTCCTGGTGACAGGACCACAGAATGTGGCCATGTTCTCACTGCTTGTTCCCAGGTGGTGCGTCCCAACCCAGCTGCCTCAGATGCAGCAGCGGTGCCTCCTTTTGTGAACTTAATTTGGCCTGGGATTTTGGAAAAGATGGCCATAGCTCTGTTTGTCACTTGATGTAGAGTTTGCAAGTAAGTACTAAATTTAGCCAAAACTTTTTCCTTGCAAGCCAAATTGTTCACAACAAAAGTACTCGAGAGCCAAGGCACCACCGTACTGGCTCGGTGCGGCCCCAGTTAGCATCAGCCGTGTGATGATAAAATCTAAGTACCTCCATGAAGAAGGAGCTCCAGGGAGAGAGATGCAGGTGCCTTTAAAGGAGGGCTTTTCTATCCTGGTAGGGTGTTTTTCTTCTTTGCTTTTATTACGGGGACTGCGCGGTGACACCTGTACAGTCCTCCCCTTGCCAAAACAGAAGTGAAAGGGAAAAGACTTGGCTAGCTGCATCAGGCAGGATGCAAATGTGTCTCTCCATTCTTCACTTCTACACTAGCAGTTGCGAAGGGTCACCTCTGGTGAAGCCCAGTAACTCACTCCACATCTACCTCAGTGATTTCACTTGTAAAAAATGAACCAGGGGCCAGCCAGAGAGCTCAACGGATTAAAGCACCTGCTTAGGCAGGCACAGGGGCCAGGGGTTCGATCCCCAGCCTGCAGTGCCGGCCCCACCCTCAGGGCTTGCTGAGATGGCAGTTGAGACTGGGCACGTGGCGGGTGTACCTGTAATCCCAGCACTTGGGAGGCTATAAACAGGAGGATCACTACAAGTCCGATCTGGGTAGGGAGATCCTGTAGACTCTGTACTGATCTGGGTAAGGAGACCCTATAGACTCTGTACTGAATACACAAAAATTTAGAAAAAGAACCACAATAGAGGCTTCTTTCAAACTGCAGTCCTCTGAGAAGTGTACATGCTTTCGGTGAAGCAGCACGCGCTACAAACAAGCATATTCCTGAATTTGCAGCTAACGTGCAGCTCAGTGCCAGGACCTTCGCGTACACGTTTGCATGACGCTGTGTGTGGTGACTGCCGAGGTCTCGTCTGTTTGTGTCCAGTGCGGCCTCTGTGCTTCCTCTCCCTCTCCCTCCTGGCCCAGGACTGCAGCAAGGACCTGCAGCCTCTCCGGTTGGCCTCCATGGTGCTCAGTCCAGCAGTGAACAGGGATGCACCATTGGGGACGGAGGGTCCTTTGGGACCCATTTTGCAATGAGACATTTCCCAGTGTCCTCAGTAGTGAAGTGGACTGTGTGCCTGTCCTCTCCCGTGGTGTCCATGCCACTGAGAGAGGACGTGGCAGAGTTACCTGCCGCTTCCTACAGGGCGTGAGGCAGAAGAGAGGGCCTGAGACAGCTCTCGCAAGAGCTGGGATGTCCAGGACAGGTGACCAGAACGCATGGTGGAGGGTTACATTTTAAAAACCATTACAGTAAAGAAACACTGCCGTGGATTCCCCTCAGTCCCTCCCCTCGCTCTGCACACTCTCATCCCATCGCCCGGGTGGCTTTCTAAGACAGCTCTGGAGTCCTCTTTCCTGAGTGTGTTTGGGTACAATCAGAAATACGATGTGTGAAGCTGCTGAGCACCGATGGAAAGGCAGCTCTGAGCACCACTGAAACGCGCACGAGCGGCTCGCATCAGGCGCGTTCCTCCTCCAGCTCATCACGGGACCAGCCTGCGTCACTTCTGGTTCTTCCTCCGGGAAAAGGTCGGTGTTTTGAGTCTGTTCAAGCCATTGAAGCCACCGGGACAGCACAGTGGAAGATAGGAAAGAGGACTCCAGAGCTGCTGCAGAAAGCAGCCAGGCCGATGGGTGGAGGTCTGGGGGAGGGAAGGCGTCGAGGCGGCTCATGGCGAGGAACCTTTCGCGGCTCAAGAGTCTGGTTCTCGCACGCCTGGTGTTTGCTCAGTGCCCAGGCCCTGGGTTCAATCCCGGGTGCTGAAGTATTGCCGTGTGGCCGCAGTGTGACTGTGTCTCGCTTCTCCTGAGCCTAGTAAGGGGCACTGAAGGTGTGCCAAGAGAGGAGGCGGCACAGGCCCAGGTGGACAGCAGTGTCCCAGTGAGGCACACGTGGGCGAGGCTCCCATCCTGCCATCCTGTGGCCTCCTTGTGCCTTGCTGCTAGCACCGTGGGGTGTGGCCATCCCCAGAATGTCCCTCCTCAGCTCCTGGGCTGCGCACGCCCTGCTCTGCTTTTCAGAGAGCACTGGGACCAGCAGCCACACCTGCTGCTCTGCCCACCTGTGTTTGCTTGCAAGTGTGCAGTGAGTGGGGAGTGGGGGCAGGCGGGACCAGGGCTGGGAGGCCAGGGTGACCTGATGCCTTCCCGCACCGCAGCGTGTCTCCCATCGCAGTGCCCCGGAAGCTGTGAGTCCGGCTGACACCGGGCGTCTTCTGAGTACAGTCAAGGACTCCAGAAGCCTTGGACCATGGCCTCTGAGAAACCAGCAACTGGCGTGGACTCCAACGGAGCTTGGTTGGGGACAGGGACTCCAGCTGCGGAGGGAGCGCTAAGCCCTCACTCTGATCTACAGCAAGGGCCTCAGGTGCAGGCTCAGGGAAAGCCACACCCCCGTCTCAAGTCCCCACTCCTGCCAGGATCCTGGTCTCCCTTGTCCTCTTGAGTCCCCTGCCATTTTTTAAAACTGCACAGTTGTTCGCTCAACATCAGGAAAAGCAGCTGGAGCCTCGTCAGCACTCAGAAGGCGCCTGGCGCCCACTGCTATGTTCAGGGTAATTAGACCAGTGCACTCTGTATGTTTGAGCCCAACCTGGGCCACCACCCAGTGTCCAAGCCGGAACCTGACTCAAAAATAAGAAGTCAAGGGAGCTGAGAGTGTAGCTCAGTGTGCACAGGTCCTGGGTTTGATCCCTAGTACTTGAAACAAAAACAAAACAGGACTCCGGCAGGAAAAGCCACAGGGGTGGAAGCAGCCTCTAAGCCTGCCAGGCCTGCGCACCAAGCACACCCGCCACACCCCTGTGCCCCAGCTGAGGCCACACTCATGCTCAGGTTCCCCTCAGGAGGAGGGAGGGGTCGCACCCCAGGGGCCCCACTTTTGATTAAGCCAACTTCCCTTGACCTCCGTCCCCATGGCTGCCTGTGACAGGATGACTCTCCACTGCCTCAGTAGGGTGGCTGACCCCGAGTGGCAGGTACCCGGCTGCACCCCCACCCGAGCCACAGCCGCAGCTCCTGCAGGGCTGGGGACAGCAGATGGCCCAGGAGACTCAGTGAACTGAATCACAAGAGGGGAAGCAGATGTGTCCCCCAGGTCCCACACAGCCCCCCTCCCCGAGGAGATTTGCATAACAGGGATAATTTGGTAGCAAACTGTCCCCCGCAGCAGGCTGCATGGATCTCGGTACAACTCAGAGATTTCACTTCTTCTTTCCCGTTGTCTCAAACCAGGCCCGAGGTGACGCTCAGTGTGTGAATTGTCCAGAGGTTTTTTCCTTCTCCCTCATGACTCAGCCCGGGCCTCCTCGCTGCGCCCCACCACACCCCTGTGCCAAGAACCAGCCTCACCCGGAGCCAGGTGGTGACCGCTGTCCAGGTCGTCTCACCCGAGGCCACCTGGCCCCGCATCTCGGCACAGCATTCCCACGGCTTTCCACCCACACAGGCCCAGCTGCCTAGTGAGGAGGGCAGGCTGTTTTTGGGCCCCTGACTCGATTCCCCTTTCCAGGCCCTCCTTCTGCCCACGGTGGTTAACTGCCCTTTAGTGAACCCCGGGTTCCGCTACCATGCCCACTCACCACCTCTGAAACTGCCAGAACTCCTGTCCCAAACATCAGCTTTAAGCCAGGTGTAGTGGCGCTTGCCTGTAGTCTCCAGTTGATTTAGGAAGCTGAGGCACGAAGATTGCAAGTTTGAGGCCAGCCTGGGTGCCATAGAGAGAATTTGTCTAAAAAGAAAAAGTGCAAAAGAGCTTGGGGATACAGCTCAGTGCAAGAGCCTGGGCTTTTAATTCCAAGTATTGCCAAATAAAAATAAATACTGTGGGCTGGTGAGATGGCTTAGTGGTCTAAAAAGCACCTACTTAGAAAAAGCTTAGCAAAGCACAGGGACCGCGGTTCAATCCCCCAGCACCACATGCCAGCCAGCCCCGCCCCCTGGTGGGCTGAGCTGGCCACACACACACACACACACACACACAAATAAATAAATAAATAAATAAATAAAATAAATAAATAAATACTGGCTTTGGACCAGGCACAGGGACCAGGATTTGATCCCTGGTGGGTGGTGCTGGCCCCACCCTGGGACATGCTGAGATGGCAACTGAGACTGGGCGTGGTAGTGTACCTGTAATCCCAGTGCTTGGGAGGCTGAAAACAGGAGGATCACTATGAGTCTGATCTGTGTAGTGAGACCTTGTGCTAAATACATAAATAAATAACTACTGGCTTTAGACTACTTCTCAGCTAAGCAGCCAGGCCTTTACACCCCGTGGCAGTGCTGATCAGATGAAGAG